CACAAAAAAAGAAGCTGTCCAGATGACCTGACTGAAAAATGTTGGATAAACGATAATATTGTTTGAAATTTGACAATAATTAATGATTATTGTCAAATTCAAGAGAAAATGTAGGTTAATTTCTTGTAGTACCTTTTTTGACCACTGGATGTCAGTATAAGACTGGTTGAACCAAAGGTGAACCAACACTGCAGGTAATGATGTCCTGAGAGCGCACGCTGTAGCTGCACTCACACAGAGACATGTAGGAGGAGATGTATGAAGGCAGCAGACCAAGAAGTGATTTCAAGATGAACATGTACCAGTGGGAGAGTCTGTGTGGAGTTAATGGTGACCAGTTAACCAGTGAATACTGGGAGCAGTGGTGTGTACGGTAGTTACAGCCAGTTATGAATCTTAGTGCACCATGATAGACAGCATCCAACATCTGCAGCATCCAACATCTGCAGGGTTCTTGTAGGAGTGTTCATGTAAATAATGTCTCCGTAATCTTTGTCCTCAGGATTGTGGTCCTGGCGGGCGACACCCTGCCCATCGACGTGTACTGTCACGTGCCCGTCATGTGTGAGGACAGGAACCTGCCATACGCCTTCATCCCTTCCAAGATGGTCAGTTTGAGCTTGAACTTCCTGTTGGTTCTGGTTCTGGTCGGAGCAGAGACGGTCCAGAAACGGTTCTTCTGGATGTTGTTTATTTCTTGTCATTCTGACTCTTATTTTGAAATGCTCTGCAGGACCTGGGCTCGTCTGCAGGCTCCAAGCGGCCCACCTGTGTGATCCTGATCAAATCTCACCCGGACTACCAGGAAGCATTCGACGAGTGTCTGCAGGAAGTGTCCAACCTGCCCAAACCGCTCTGAGCCAATCAGGAAACCGCTCTGAGCCAATCAAGAAGCAGTGCTCATCAACAGAACTTTTGTTTGTTTTTCTCCCAGAATCCTCCAGTCTCACCTGAGTGCTAACACTTTCCACCTGTTCCCAGTGTTTGCGCTAAGCTAGGCTAGCTGACGGACTCGTGAGCGCTGGTTTGTTTGTTTTTTGTTTTTTTGTCCAAACTTTTATTAAAATGTTCAAACAGAAACGTCTGAAGTTTTTTGAGGCAACCAGAAGCAGCTGCTGCCTTTAAACACTTTTGTGTTTGTTTGTTTATTTTTGTCATATGCAGGTTAACGCAAAGTCAACAATGCAATGAAACGTTCAGGATGAGAAGAACCGCTCTGACTCGCTAAAAAAACAAAATACTAAAGCATTCAATAAAAGTACAAAAGTCCCAAAACGTGAAAAAGAAACATAATTTTACAAGGTCCTAAAGAGAGTAAACGACATGTAACATGTATAACGTAACATATATAGCATGTATAATGTAACATATAACGTAACATAACATGTATAACGTAACATATATAACATGTATAACATATATAACATGTAACATATAACGTAATGTATAACGTAACATATGTAACATTTAACATATATAACATTTATAACGTAACATATATAACATGTATAACGTAACGACATGTAACATGTATAACGTAACATATAACATGTATAACATATCTAACATGTATAACGTAACATATATAACATGTAACATATAACATGTATAACGTAACATATATAACATGTATAACGTAACATATATAACGTATAACAACATAAATAACATGTATAACATGTAACATATAACGTAACATGTATAACATAACATATATAACATATATAACATGTATAACGTAACAGATAACATGTAACATATATAACATTTAACATATTTAACATTTATAACGTAACATATAATGTAACATATGTAACATGTATAACATGTAACATATATAACATGTATAACGTAACATATATAACATGTATAA